GGGAAACGGGCAGCAGGAGACCTGGTGTTAGTGAAACTATAAGTGGTGAGAGTGGACAGCCTATCCACAACTTGTCAAAATGCTTGGAGCGTTGGGCTGAGCAGGTGGAAAGGCAATTTAATCGGTCGGAACTGTTAGATTTCTCGCCGGCTAGTGATCGCCCCGCTCCCTGGGCTGTCCTTTTGGACCCACCCTCTCGCTCGGAAGTCGAGCGTGAGATCGGACTGTTTAAGTTAGATAAAGCCGTGGGACCAGATGACATTCCCCAAGCCCTCTTCAAATTCGGGGGACCTGCTCTTGTGGACGATTTATACGAGTTATTAGTGAAACTGCTGGAGCAGGAAACTGATTATCAGGAACTCACCTGCAAGACTCGAACTCTGTGCCCGGTCTACGATCCCTTTCAGGTGACACTAGCAGTGCTTTTTCATTAAGCCTATCCGGAGACGATGCAGCTTCGAGTGCCGGTCAAGCTGGTATTAATATTACCCTGAGTTCCCTGACTGAAGCTGGTCTGGTTCATTAGTTCCCAATCAGTAGCCGGATGTGTGCGGTCCGACTGGCTGGCTCGTTCAAGGCTTCGAAGTAGCCCGGGTTGAGCATTTTGAAAAGCAATTTAATCTGACTGAATTGTTAGACTCCACACCGGCCAGTGATCGCCCTGCTTCCTGGGCTATCCTTTTGGATCCACCCACTAGCTCAGACGTCGAACGTGAGATCGGACTGTTAAAGTTGAACAGAACCGCGGGACTCTATGCTCTTCATCCAGCCCTCTTCAAATTTGGGAGCTTGCTCTTCTTAATGATTTACTAGTGAAACTGTGGGAGCAGGAAACTGTCTTAACCAACTGGAGCCGTTCCGTTATTGTCCCTATCTTCAAAAAATTCTCCCGTTCGGAATGCGGCAACCATAGAGGAATCACTCTTATCTCCATTGCCTCTAAATTGCTTGCCTCTGTCATCCTTCACAGATTGGCTAACACTCGTTGAAGCCATATTCGTGAGGTGCAAGCCGGGTTTCGTCGAGGTCGGGGCGGCATCTATCACATATTCACCTTGCGTCAGTTGTTGGAGCACCATCACACATACTGGCGGCCCACCGTAGTCGTGTTTTTCGACATCAAAGGTGCCTTGGGTTTGGCGGATCGATATGCCCTTTGGGACTATCTGCCAAGGAAAGGGTGTTTGAAAAATATGTCAATATTACCCGAGTTCGGGCAGTGTGAGGTCTTACGGCAAGCCTTTGCCCACTCTCAATATCTCCAGATATGTAAGACGTGCATGCCAGCTGTCGCCTTTGCTCTTAAACTTTGCTGTTGACGAATTCATGGAAATCACGTTTACAGGACACGACTTAAAAAGTGTGGAACTTCGCCCAGGTGATCGACATCTTGGCTTAGAGTACGCCGACGACACTGTCCTCATATGTGACAGCCCCCAAACGTGCCAAACAGCACTAGACAAATAGCGCTGGTTGTCAGACGTTTCGGGCTATGTTTTGCACCCTCGAAGTACAAAGCTTTCCTCTAAGATTGATAGCGACTGCTTCCTGCGTTGACCCTTGGTGGGGATCAGCTAGTCTTTCAGTAGTTCAACTACCTAGGTAGTTGTGTCAGCGTTGTTGTAATTGAAGACGAGGTCACCATATAGTAAAAGCACGAGGCGCTTTTGCTAACCTACGCCATCTATGGCGCCGGCGCGATATGACCCTCTCGCTGAAGGGTAGGGTATACAATGCAGCCGTACATTGGACACTGCTGTATGGTTGTGAATGTTGAACTATTAAATCGGTAGACGTAGAGGCTAATTACGTTCGACAACCGGTGTTTTTGCAGTTTGGCTCATCTTATGGGAACACCCTGTGTGCAATGACCGTGTTCTACGCCTTGTTTATGGCACAGGATGAAGAAATGAACCGCTCGGCACCGTTATATCACGCATCAGGCTCTGATGGCTGGGCCGTGTTGTGCTTGCCAACCCACCGACTCCCGGAACATGCGTTATTTGCGCGCCAGGGTGTGGCTGGAAGAAGGGAGAGGTGGCCAAGCTGTGACTCGGTCAAGAGGAATGAAGGCCCTTAGTTTGAGGTTGGCCTCGGTTGGAGTCTCTAGGCTCCCTGGTTGGGGTCCGAAAGACTATGAACACGTTTAGCTGAATGCACTTGTTGATATGGCTAGGAGCCGATCTCAGTGGCCTTCGTGCTGAGTTTCTTTGTCCCTCCCCCTCCTGCTTAGCCTCCCTCCGCAACCACGATCACATTTACTAAGAATAACGTAACTTTTTTGCTACCGGCTGTTAACTCTCCGGAACGATGTCCATCCGTTACCGGTGACTCAGCCAGCGTGCCTTTGTTGCACTTTTTCTTTTCTGTTCCAATGTATTGCGGCACAATTGCTGAGGTATTTTCCACCTCGCTAACGTGTATGATGATGATGAGTAATGCTTTCCAATTCAGAACCGCCGCGCCAACTTTATACGGTCCAGTTTAACCCTATTCATTTCACTTCATTCCAGTTTATAGTTAAGATCCACGCACCTAGATACAATGCATCCAGTCGTCTTGACTCACGTCGTCAAGATTATGAGAATAATTCAGGAGTAATGGGCAAAAAGTGAAATTATCAGGCAGAGTAGTTAACGCCCAAAAATAGGGAAGTAAGGCAAGAGTACCACTGATATCATGTTGCCATATTCGGTGGGTATCCCACCACTGATGTGACCGATCTGTACGGCCACATACAGGAAGATGATAACCAGACTCCGTCTCTCGGGGAATTTTTTCGTACTCTTTTGTCATATTTCTGACTGGCACCTATGGATTTTATTGGAGTAGGCTCGTTTTTGGCATCGTCATCTTGATCAACAGCAATACATCAGTAATTTGAGCTTTTGTCTCGCTGCCACCACCATGTTCCACTCTACCTTATTTGGGACGAAATTGGTAGATATTGTGAACCAGTCCTTCTGTACACCGATAAGCCAGAGGTGCTGTCTGCAAACTACATTATACGGCGATCAGGAAGTTGAAACAAATGGAGCACGTAATGTTTTTGCAACCCGATAATGGATCGGGCATTGTGCTAACGAGCAGCCTTGACTACATTTCGAAGATGGGGTCCATTCTGGGAGACAGGCGGAAGTTCCAGGCAGATACTACACCGGAAAACATCTTGGTGGAGAAGCAAGTGGCAAGAAAACTCCAGATCCTCTTGCTACATGGCTACATCACTGAGTCGCAATACAGGCACTTAAAACCATTGGCACGCAAACATCCAGAATGAGAGGCGCTCCCAAGTAGCACAAGGCACGCAACCCGCTACGCCCGATCATATGTATGAACAATTCGCCTTATCGCAATGTTGCGTGGTGGCTCGCGAAACTATTAGATCCAGTGCGTAAACTCCTCGCTACGCATTGCCTGAAAGACTCCTTTGAACTGGCCGAGACGCTGGAACAATTGCCACTGAGTGCGGAGCGCATGTACTCAGTAGACGTGGACTCCCTGTTCACAAACGTGCCTTTACGTGAGACGGTCGATCATTTATGTGATTTTACCCTGGGCCAGAATATGTCTGTAGGCCTGCCAGTGGAGTGTCTAAGGGATATGATTCTATTGTGCACCGAGAACATACGGTTTAAGTTTGAGGTGACCGCATACAAACAGGTCGATGGAGTCGCTATGGGCAGTCCTCTGGGACCAGTTTTAGCCGACATCTTCCTCGGATTGATAGAAGTGCAGGTTGCTGCCAGCATTGGTGAGGCGAAATTGTACGGACGGTATGTGGATGACATTTTAGTCTTCACCAACGGGGAACATTTTACGCGACTGCTGACCATCCTGAATTCGGGTCACCCTAATCTCTCGATATACCATGAAGTGGAACAAAACGGTTGCCTGCCGTTTCTGGATATACTCATTAGGAGACGAGCTGAAGGCACATTGCAACGCACTGTCCGCCGCAAAGCGACTTGGAGTGGACAGTACCTTCACTTGTCAAGCTTCGCCCCGGTCGCATACAAACGTGGCTTAGTGAAAACCCTCTTCTAACGAGCTATACGTATCTGCAGTCATGAAACGTTAAAAGCCGAAGAAGAAATTCTACGCACGACCTTAATTTCTAATGGGTGTCTTGAGTTTATTCAGATACACAACATACCGCCCAGCAGGAAAACACCGGTGCTGACAGCTGAGAAAAATGGTTTATTTGTTTTTGCCGTCCAAGGGGGACCACGTGGCAAATGACATCGGACGCAAACTTCGGTCCACCATAACGCGCGTCTACACAACCGTCCAGTTACAATTTATGCATGCCACGCGAGGAATAGTTCTTCATAACCGTCGGAGCATCTCGTCGGTTAGTTCGGCCTCATGTTGTGTCTCAGTTCACTTGCAATTGTGGTGACATTTACGTAATCGTTGATTAGCTCAGCGGGTAGCTGAATATTCGCCAAAGTGGTTGGGACAAGTAATGACGCAACAAAACGGGGCGGATCTGAGGGTTAGTCGGAGCCCAGTATCGTCTATCACTAAGCACCTCATGGCAACTTGTCATCACGTGAACCGTCAGACCGCGTTCAAAGTGTTATTGCTCAACAAAACTCAGTAATGTTGGAAACTAGTGAGGCGTTGCTAGTTAAGGCCTATCAACCAGTGCTATTTGCACAAATGCTTTTGAGGCAATCCATTCGGTTGCCTTGATCTTGTCTGTGACATTTTGATTGGTGTTGCTTGCTTTTCCATGTATAAAATCGTTCGTGTTTCTGCTTGTATTGTGTTTGCGACTGAAGAGAACAATCGAAATGTTGACATATCGCAACCTGTCTTCTCTCTGCCTTGACGAAATCGACCTTATTTGTTTCTTCTCACGAGCCCCATTCTCGTGTTAACCGGAATCAGGCAATTACTGTTCTCACAAGCTATACAAGCGAGGAAAAAACACAATCTTTCAAATCTAGCCTATCATCTTGCATAAGGTTTTTCAATGTTAGCGCCTTGTTTCAGATCCACCAACAGGCGATTGTCGCATACGACTATACTCCCCGGAGTAAAGGTGTGCTGTTTCCAAAACTCGCGTGCAGGACTGCGGCGTTCCAGTACATCTACGCTTCCAGTGACAGTATATGAACACTTCGCATCTTCAGTGATGCTGAAATCCACGCTTCGCGTCGGAATCGCTACCAGTAAACATGCGGCGTCTCGTCTTGTGGAGTGACCTCCACCTATCAGACAATTGTTTACCATTCCACTCCGAAGCCTCGTCGAAAATAATAGGCGACAGCTGATAGTAGGTTGCGTTTTTTGCTTAAGATTACGCTCCCACCGGGGCCAGTTCAGAATCCTTTAAATATGAATTTTATAGTCAGGTTCTCCCTATTTTGATTGATCAAAAGCACGGGTACCGCGTTTTAGGCGGCTTAAAGGTCCAGGTCAGTGGCCTATCAAAGTCAGAACGCCTCCGAAACCGTTTCGTAGCTCATGCTTGCTGTACTGATAATTGAGACAGCTTTTTCCAGCGGTGCACCAAATACACTCAAAATAAACAACAAGGCTTTCTAACACAATTATTTACACTGGGCTACGTGTTGGCCACCGGAAGACACACTACAGCGGACTCATTTTACCCACCTCACCATTAGGTATAGATGGTGTACATCTGTACAAGATTGTCGTTCGATTTGGACCACTTCCGTCGATTCTGACCATTCGCTGTGCGCGCCCGCGTAATGCCCGCTCTTTAACTATGGGCTTGATCGTCGGCTGTATCTGCAGCCCAAGAAGCAAGGGTGTCAATATGAATTTGTAGCATCAGTTGTTACGATGAGCGATGTGGGCGCAATAGAAAGAGCGCCCCAATAGCTTATCCCCAGGTTCGATCTGTTTGAATTATGAATGGATTTCTGAAACAGAGAAGATGGTTCTACCGATGTCTGTTTTGAATTGCCCGTGACGTTGAAAAGCCAACCGACAAGGAGTCTGGGAATTGACCGCGAACGTTGAGGGGTGGCAAGGGCCTATGTTCTAGTGAAGATCCGAGCCTTTGTGAATAAACGCTTTCTGTTCTAGTTTTACTAACGCATGGGTCCCAGAACGGCCCTTGGGTGGGTGGTCTTAGGTGAATCAGTCGACTCAACTGATACACCGGCCCAGCTCATTTTTCTTACCTTCTGACCATTAGCAGTACAACTGGTAATCACAACATATGGATAGACAAGATACAACGACAGAGGCGAGAAAGGAAAAGGTTTGTAAAACTGTAATCAAATGATCATCAAGGTCTCACAACAGGTTCGCCGTTGAGCGCGAGTTCTTGCGATGCCCGAGAGGGTTTCCATTCAAGCGTGTTCGTGATCCTTGCGCCACTGCTAACCTGTGGTTGGTGCACCAACACTCGTTGTCCACTTTATTTTCACTTCTATCCAAAGCGCAAAGAGGGCACGACTAGTTGCATGCTGTGCTGACACGCGGAGCACGCGTCCAAGTCACCGAAGTCTGTACAGTGCACTTATGCAGCTCAGTGATTGTTATGGTTTGTCTACTTTAAAGATACTTTGACGAACATCATCATTACAAACGCGATATTGATTTAGTTCATCGTAATTAGATTGTAAGTCAGAAAAGTCAACTACTAATCCGGGAGAGCACCAGACGATCGTTTCGTTCTACTGGGATTCATCATTGGTGCGCATTTCCCCGTCCCTTTGGAGGAACCGAACCCATCACCGCTAGTGACTTGCACCATTACCCAGCAGCTTATGCCACTAAGCCATGGGGAACGATAGTTAATAATCATGGATTGAAATTTAACTGCGACGTAGCTCTGTCGTGCAGGGGAGAGTGGTTGGCCCTCAAGAGTCAAGATATCCCTTGCTAGTAGCCCTAAATCCACAGCATTCTGAAGACTAGTAGGTTTTTGATTACTTATGGGTAAAGGGATTTGCTAAGATTTATTTAGTTCATCGCACACCAGCAATCCTCCGAAGACAGCAGTGATCAAAAGCAGACAGCTAAATTTGCGAAGTTTTTCAACCATAGAACAGAATCGTTCGCACCATTGCATTTAAGCCCCGGTCTTTCAGAAGTAACGTCGGACCAGAGATGGCGGATACTAAGAAAGGCAACCTGAGTTTTAAAAACGGACACAAACCTCGCCCGTTAAACAGTCAACGGTAAATTTGCCCGCGAGGTGAACGGATTTGTCAACCACTTCCAAAAGACAACCCAAGCGAGATAGATTAGGTGCAGCATTTGCCCGCTCCTGTTAAAAGACGTCACGCTTCGATGGGGCGAAAGTGAGACTTAATTGGGAGACAGCACATTTTGAGAAGTCTGCGAGATATCGTAAACTGCAACAATGTCGTTACCGTACTCCAAATTGCGGAGTAGGTCCCCTAGAAGCAACTTAACACCAGTAGGTTCGCAACTGACCAACACAATTTCCAATTTGTCATCCATAGCGAAGTTTTCGAGTCAAGGTGTTAAGTCAAAATAAGCATTATACATTTATATGGGCACTTTTTGAACACCAAAGAAGACGAGCATGAGGCATCCTCACTGGCATTAGCTACGCGTCCGAACAATATCAATTAGGGTCCGTCGCAGGCTTCAGCCCGCTGGAGTACAATGGTGGGCCTCCACTCCTGGTCACACTGCATTTTCACCTTCTGATTACGGAGGGTGATGTTGGGTAGCCTTGTCTCATGCCACTGGTGCTATTAAAGAGGAGCGTAAGTTCACCCTATGCCCCACACTTAGAAGTTGGAGGTATATGGCTTAGATAGTGCAAATACATTTCTCGGACACTTCTCAGCAGGTTAGCCTCTAGGGTAGGTCGGTCAACTGAGTCCGTGTCCAAGAAAACAATGATCTTCGATTGACTGAACGTTTGACGACACGCAAGTATTTAGCAGATCGTAAGGATGTAATCAACACACCTCCAACTTGAGTAGAGCCCAGAGTAAGTCTCCCTAAAATCGGAGGCAAGGACTTTGCTTGCAACGCAGATGAAACCTGCCCATCACTGGTTAGCGCGGCCTGTCTGATCCCTCTTTGAAAACTGACAATACATCCACTAAGCTCCACTCAGATGAGATTACTTCCATTATTCAAATCTCTTGGAGAACGGAAGTTAATTCCCGGATGAGGAAGGATGGGTCTTCTTTTTTAAAAGGTCCAGAGGCAGTTCGTCTGGACCAAGGGCATTCTAGCGCTTGAGAAGACGTAAGGTAAGAAACTCCCTCGGATGTAACGAAATATTCGCACACCAGGAAGCGCCGTGGATTCCCGAAGAGAACTCGTTGGTGGCGATGCCCAGTTAGACTGCTGTTCATGATACTCAATTCAACGAACAAGTTGACTTGATCGACAGTGAATTGGCTCTTCAGTGGCTTCATGTAATGTCTTGCTTGCAATTGGCTTCTTGTTCCAGTAGATCGAATTACGAAGAAGAGCTTACGGGAATTCTCCGAGGTAGCCTCTTGTTCTATCTCGAAAACAGGTCGCGTCCACCGGGCTTCACAACTCTCGTAGGTGTTGCTTGGATTCAGTGTTGGTAGTTCTGTGCAGTGAATGATACTCTATGAATAAGCAACGCAGAAACACGCCTAGAGTGAGTACAGCCCGAATGAATAGGCTTTATTTAGCCAGAAACTGAGGTGAATAGGCCTTAAAGAAGTATCGAAAGTTTGTGATAAATAACACGACGGTGAGTTATATTCCTCTCAACATCGGCGGGTATCATTCAACGGGTTTGCACCTTCAAAGTGCAAGGTGTTGTTGCATGACCACCAGCCAATTGACGACTTTTTGATCCTTGATAATGAGGAACGACGTAATTGATAAATTCACTTACCTTGGCAGCTTCATCAGCAACGATGGGCGCATAAGCACTGAAGCCATTTCACGCATTGCAAAAGCTATGACTGCGTCCTTGAAACTGCGACATTCGTGGTGTCAGAAAGAGGTTTCCCTCGGTCTGCAAGGCTGTGTTTACAGTGGCACAGTGAGGACCGTCTTACTCTGCGAGAGTGAGACTTGACCTTTTCGGTCTGAGGTGCCTTCAATTCTTTGGTCATCGCTGCCTGCCAAGCACTGCTGGTGTCGGATAACACCAGCGTGTCCGCCACGATGGTGGGCGTAAACGAGTGCCATGCAGTGATATTTAGGCTGGTTCTTTAGAACAACAAATAGCAATGAATAAGTTACGTTGGCTTGGGCGCGTACTACGTATGTCCGGTCCTCACTTACCGAGGACCTCGTTTTGTTTACCAGATATCGGGTGGCGCAAAGCTTTAGATGGACAAAACTTGGCAGAGAGAAATCAAGTCATTGCTTACAAAACTGGGTGTCGTCGGTCCGTCTCGCCTTCCGGACTGGAGTCCACGTGACTCGCCTTGTGCTTGGCTCGAGACGTTACAGGATATGACTGGCGATCGGCACCAGTGGCGCGTCTGCTGTCGTCCCGTAGTCGGATTGCCTGTTTAAAATGTGTTTGGTGCTGAATTATCTGCGGGATAGTGACTGATTAGGACGCGGGGCAATGAAAGCCGTAAGGAAGTTGCCTAGCCGATACCGCTTGATCTTCACAGGGTAACCAGATGTTTGTAACGTTACGTTGTTGATAAGGTGTAGGCGCCTTGCTCCTGAAGTTTGATTTAGGTACTGAGGTTTTATGCTGGGTCCCTCTTCTCTACCTGTTATTATTATTCATTCTTTGTCATCGTAATTTTACGATAACTAAGCACCAGTTCAAATGGCTGACGTAGTGCTGTTGATTATGATGATAACGCGGTTCATTAAGCTGGGTCCATGGTGCAAAGCTCGTGTGGTTTACAGGAACACCACTGAAACTTCGGACTTAGGTCATAGAGTTGTGCGGTTGAGTATCGCCATAACGAAAGCGAGCATAGCACACACGAGCGCGTGATTCGAAGTAAGATTTGTACTCCAGATTGATTTGAAGTCCGTTACACAATTTCGCCAACAGAAAATGATGGCGGTGTGGTCAAACTGCGTCCATGGCTGCCCACGTGATGGAATTCTCTAGATTGCACATTGGCTCCACAATCACCGAAAGCTGGAGCTTACTAGAAGTAGGCAATAACGGACGCAAAGTTGTAATGTACCATCCTCGTCCGTCCTGCGAGTGTCATGGTCATGCTGACCACCCAGTTCACGTCAGTCAGCTTCAGGTCCACCGACTTGCACGCTTAAGTCTCCAGATGGAGCCACGATTTCTCCCCGGCGCTTTCTATAGAGGTCGATGAGCTGATAGTAGAACTTCTTTGCGTCCGGGACATACAGTTACAATGTCTATCGGCTATGCGGCTAGACGGTCGTACTGAGGTTTCTAGTAGAGTCGCACAAAGTCAGCTGTTAACAGATCCAGTTTAGTAACACACCCCAGGATGTACACTCAATTCAACCACCAGGCCAGCATGGCCAACGGCCTCGGTGGTCAAGTCTCCGGATAAGCGCATTGCGACTCACTAGCGACTTCCTTATTTTCTGTTTGTCACTACTCGGCGCAAGCAGGTGCCATCCGCCAGCACCAGTCTTGCGCGATCTAGGGACACTGCGATGTGTGGCCTGCACTTATGCAGATTCGACTCGGCGACCCCTGGATTACAACGCAAACGCCTTGTACACCAGCCGGCCATCGTCTTATCGACTGCATTCTGGATCATGGCAGCAGTAGGTTGATAAACCAGAATCTGGACGCAACTTAGGTATGTATCTGCTAGACAAATGGTCATGTGGTCCTTGATAAACGAAAGTAATGCGCGTCAGCCAAGCAACTCACAGCCACTTGCGCATCAAACCTTAAGACAATCAGCAGGGTGAGAGGAGCTGTCACGGGAGATGACATACTAGAACCCAGCATATGGCACTTCAAAACCGGGAATAACGGCGAACGCATTCTGACTCAGGAAAATAGAGTAGGAAATTTTCGATTAATGAATGAATCGTGAGATAAACCCACACAAAGTCTACAACTACTGTAGTTATACGGCATATAGTGCATTGAAGTTGCATGGAATTAAAGTTTGGTCCCAATGAGTGATGTGAATTAAACACAGGCGTCTACCAAACACATAAGAAATATTGTTAATTGCAACGGCTTTTTGAGAATCGCCCACTGTAATGTAATGGAAGTTAGGGAATTGAAAGTCAATGGTGAGCGGAACAGACACTTTATGGGCGGACCCGGGTATGTATATTAATTGGGTTTTTCTTTAATTTCGAGTTTCAGTGTTTTTACTGTAGTTGCTCTGAACATTAAGCAATCCTTTAGTTTAAAAGGTATAATCGATAAACGTACTTGATGTGTACATCATTATGCACAAGTTTACTTCTCTTTTTCAGGTCTTCATCAGTGAATTCACATCTAGACTATGCTCACTTCTGCACGCGAACAGAAACTAGACGCTCCGTTTGATTGTACTGGACGAAGCTTTCCTCCAAGCACAATCGCTACAACTTCTCTCCTAAACTTCTCTTCATTCCCTCCCATTATCGATGCGGTAAATATTGGCATGTTTTTTATAAGTCTATGTAGACAGAAGCGACAAAGTCTCCTGGACCTGGCGCCGAGCGATCGAAGAGGCGTTTTGTCAATATGTTCACCTCACAAAAATTTCGTGAATGGTTGAAGTACGAGTGGTTATACTCAGCGACTGACAGGTACATCTATCTTGAGTCTGCTAGAAGTAACGAGTCGAATAGGGAAATTTTCTTGAACTCTAATGACTTTCAGCTTATCTTGCGAGAGCACTTTCCGACACTAAAAACGCGTTACTTAAGACGTGGTCATTGGGGTATCATACGACGTATGATTGGCAAACCTCGGCGATTCAGTCACACATTTCTCACTGAAGAACGTGAAAGTGTACAGGGAAAGCGTAGAAACTTGCAGTACTTACAACACATTGCTCTTACGGGGCTTTTGGGGCCTATGGCTTCTGAGCATTTTGATAATTTGCTCACTTGTCTACCAGAAACCACTCACATCCCACTCCGTTTGCGTGCGGGAACTACAGTTTGTGTAAAGTTAGTTCGATTCAATTCGCTGATTCAATTTCACCACAGGTTGGACATTCCTAGTCCAGGGCTTTTTCTGGGAGTTATTCAGGACTCGTTCCCCAGCGACGGTCACTACACTGTATGGATCGAAGGTTCGCTTTTCTCAAGCGGCATGACCGATCCATCTGCAACCTTGGCAAAGTCGAGTGCCTTCATTCGTAGTTTCCGTTTAGTACAGGACGAAGATGTGCTTACAATTCCTGGTCAGACTCCACCAGACTCCATCCCACTTTCAACTTTGAGGTATCATTTCAAGGAAAATTCCTTGGAAAATACGATCACCTCTGCGCCAAATTATCACGTATCTGCTCCCTATGGTAACGCAAGACTGCCTGAGAATATAACTGTACGCCCAGACTACGAAAACAGTGGGAACGTTTGTGGTAAGTTTTAATTTTACGCAAGTTTACCTCTAGCTTCTTACGGTCCCCTGCTGAGTGAAAATATATGCACCACAGAATGTCCGTCGGACGCAATCGGCGGACCTACTGAAATTTCTGTGGACGAACTTATGATTCCTCATACAAGGCAAAGCCTCGGTGCTGAGCGAAATTGCCCTCTGACCGATGTTGGGTTTCACTCCGTGGATCATCAACAACACGCGAAATTGTATACAAGTCTCGTGAGTTATAGGGACTGCTGTTAATGATTGTGTTTTCTTACTTGTTTCGCAAATTTTCTGCGTTCCTTACATGCTCATTTTGGCTTAGTTTCCCTCTCACTTATCACCTTTCATTACAGAGCGCTTTTACAAATCATAAAACAGTGGCCCAAATTGGACCTTCTTCATAATAAGGGAGATTATAATGAGTGCCTCGGGTTCTCGCACGTCTCACGGTATCGACGATTTCTTCAGAGAAAGTCATATTCGACGTCAGTTCACCGCTCGCTTCGCTGGACATTACTTTCCGCCTCACCACACGGGGTGTGAAGATAGTCGTCTACGTTACATCTGCGAGTTGAACTTCTCGTTTGCATTATTTCGCTCCCTCAGGACACTTGACCCGGCATAAACAGATCCATGTGCCTCTGTTATTGAGCTCCATCGTGTGTACTGAGAATGTTTGGTTCGTAACTAGGGGTACTCTGTTGTGATTAAATGATTTTCATTCCATGTTTTTCATTTTGACTAGTTTGGTGATAAACATTTTTCTCTCCGCCAGGCAAGGCTCTACAAGGTGCTAGAACAAAAATGCTACTCAGTTGAAACCTTGAGAGAAATGAACAACGTTGCCGAAGCTAAAGTGAGCTTTATTTTCTATGACTTATCGTTGACTCAGTTGTCTGAAAATCGAAATGGCATAACGGTTCAGTTTCAACACAGTTACGCAACACTCATCCTTCATCTGGACAAGCTGAATCAAGAGCTCAAGTACCATATGGATATAGTGCTAATGCATGTTGCCATGGTAAGCCTGTCATGGTCTTGATCAGCACATTAAATTCATTATTATTTTTTTGCAATGAACAAGTCAAGCAATTGGTGTTTTAGGAAAGCTTGACCGTAGAATGTGACCAACTAATGTTACCAGATATCACTTTTCTCCGTCAGTTGCTTTGCAAATAATGCTGAGAAAATCTTCAAATATTAAATGATAATTTTTACTGTTATGCACTCGAGTGTTGCATTCTTTATGGCAACCGCGTCCTTTAAAGTGATTGCTCCCCACCACAACGTATGGGTTTGCGTCTTTTTTTCTATCAGATTGCTCAGGAGAGCAATATGATTCACTTGAATCACATCACTGACTGGCGCCGTCGGTGTGACGATGAAGCGCAAGAGATGGTCTCTAGGATAAAAATGACTCAGGTTAGTAGATTGTTCTTGTGTAATCGAACACTTTTTGGACCCGAAATCTTTTAATATGTAGGGTAGATGGTGCGAGTGCAGCCAATTAGTTTTACTTAAAACCCCTGTTGTTTTAAAGAGTATTTTCCGTGGCCCATATTTCACACCTGGCAGTAACTACCTATTTTGCGAGGTAACCCAATGCCCTCCTTGGATACGTGTCGTATTTTTTGGACGATAAGGCTCACCGGATTATAAGGAACATATCTGATTTCATATATAAGGCGCATAAAGCGAATAGGTCATATTTAATTTAACTCGTTAACAATAACTCAATATTGTTCACTTGTAACACATATAAAACACAGAAAAATACAGGAAAAAGTACACAGAAAATTTTTTTTCCAACCATTCCTCTTCTACAAATCAAGTCAAAATCTTCATCTTCATTGTCGGACGATAGCGGCATCAAGCAAGCCCGGATCCCTCTCGTCATCATCTGAGTCAGTCTCATTGCTATTACTTGACTGTTCATTGATGATTCTGGCCTACGTGAAAGCACGGACGGCAGTCGAGACCGTTACGTTGTCACAGGCATCTACGACCCATTGGCAGATAGTGGCGTAACTAGCCCGACATTGCCTCCCTGTCTTGGTAAACGTGTGCTCACCTTCTGTCATCCGATGCTCCCACGCGGCTCGCAATTTAACTTTGAACCCCCTGTTGACACCAATATCTAGCGGTAGAGTTCTTTGGTTAATCCTCCCGAAATGATAGCAAACTTCGAATTAGTTATCTTCACTTGTCGTTTGAGAGTTTCGGTGAGATGGACGCACATGGTGTCGTAGATCAATAAGAACGGAGATGTGTGGAAAAAACCATCCGGTCTCCTGACGTAAACTTCTCTCAGCCACTCGCTCAATTTACCCTCGTCCACCCAGCCTTCTGGGTTGATCCTGACGACGACTCCAACAGGAAACCTTACTTTCGGCAGTCTTCCTCTTAAAAATGATCATGGGTGGTAGTTTCTGGCCATTAGCCTGGCACCCGAGAACTACAGTGAATAATGATTTCTCGTTCCCTGTGGTGCGTATAGATACAGTAGACGTCCCTGTTTTTTCAACAGTACGGTTCACGGGGATGTCAAAGCTGAGAGGAACCTCGTCCATATTTGTGATGTGTTCTGGCTGGATCATTTCGATGGTCTTTTTCTTGAAGTAAGTGAGGAAGATGGCCAAATTTTCTTCGTAATCCTTTGGTAGTTGCTGCGTGGTCGTAGTTCTTATGCGTATGGAGAGCTGACGCCTTTCATAAAACGGAAGCACCTTGAAAGTCGTTCATCTTCACTTCACGGTCCATCGTTATTGTCTTGAATCGAATGGAGACTGTAGAGACGCTTTCACCTGCTGTTCTATGTTCAGTAATCCACCGCACAATTTTACCCTCGAACTGTGTTCATCTTGCTTTGTTTTCTCGGAAATTCTTCTTTGTCTCCTTTACTTGGTGCAGGTCATGTTCTAACTTCTTTCACTTCTGTACCATTGATTCATTAATGTTGAATTGTTTCGCAGCTGCTCTATTTCCATATTGTACTGCGTGGCTGGTGGCCTTGTTTGAAATCCGCTTCGTAAGCATGTCTCATAACAAGTGTCATTTTGGCGTCGCCGACTGTCTAGATGACCGCACGTCTTTGGAACACCGGTGGGAGCGCAGATCGTGTGTTCGAACACTTACCTGCAACTGGTGAGATACAGGTGCGTGTTTTGGACAGTATTTGCAAGGTGCATTGTTGGACCAGTTGAGTTCGCCGGGTGGAGTAACCATCACATATATCACAGTATGGGATATCAGCGTGGATGGTTGAAAAGTTGGTTGATTTATCGTCGCCAGAAAAGCTTTAATCAGTTGGCTCCTGCACAGAGTTCGCCACCTCCAAAACAAGTCTGTCTAGACAACATAGAAAGATAACTTCACGAGGTTCCTGACCAGCGATTATGCTCCGACAATCAAAGTCGTAATAAAACATTTTGACAGATTTTTCGACGCATTGTGAGCACAGAAATTGATTCGTTTCTAGGCCTCATCACAACCATTCATACATAAAACCCACCGGAATATAAGATGCACTGCTGATTTTGTAGCACCTTATAGCCCGAAAAATACGGTATATAAATCCGCCCACTCACTTCACGACTTAGAGACTAGATTTCGTATAGATCTTCGCCAGATTTCTAATAATTTTGCTGGTCTCTGATTCGTATCGGATTTCTATATGATGTGACTTGATGACCCCCATTTATGTCCAAGTACGATGACGCCTTAGAACAAGATAACCTAACCGATTTGTTGAGCTTCGTCAGAGTACGTTCCGTAGACCTCATCTGCCACGAGTTTCAACTATATAGAACAATGGTAAAATACGAGCAAAAAGCTAAGGCTTGACAAGTCCCGCAGGATAGTCTGTTCAAAGAAAACGGTTTGCTAGCAAGGAAAACTGCGCGCCTCTGGACTCACCATGGTTGGCGGCATCCGGTTTCGGATTTGCCTGTCACTGTGGCAAGCCACAGGACGCCTGCGCCTACAGAGGGACCATGGATGGCTTGCGCTGCACCACCCACAGCTCCAACCACATACCCCATATCCAGTGTAAACCCGAAGGAATAAGACCGGGAGGCATGCGGATGGGAACCACGTTTCATCAACGGAGCCGGCCCACACTCCTTCACAGGCAAACACAAGCACGCTGTAGTTGGGGAATCAACCGCACACAAGGCGGTGGCTGGACCGTAGTCCGCTCCACACTGAGTGCATGGAACCGCTCTTTGAGCCTAGCACGGTCACAAGAACCGTGCACCCCGTCCCCTCCAGCAACGACCAACTGTCTCCTGGAGCCAGTATGAACGATGTAGTGGGTAATAGACAGGTAGGCACCTTGTCAACATACACATCAAGCGCAACCATACCAGGGATATCAAACAACAGCCGTTCACTTTAAACGACAAGCTGAAATAAAATAAATCCAATAATGCATACAGATACGGTGGCATAACTCTTCGCTAAATTACCATATGAAGTAAGTTGGTTAGCAACAAATCCGTGATAAGTAAGAAATGTCCACAAGTTACTTAAAATGCTACAAACGCAACAAAATTACCCAAGATAAGCGCAATTAGTGTAAGCAACGTGGCCAGTTAATAGAACATTATTCAGGGAGGCAGAACAAACCAAATAAAGCGGAATGAAATTTAGCCAGCTTAAAAAGACCTAGTTTAAGTGTAAGTTGGTTAAGCCCAACTGCGGTGAAGAAGCATCAAGAATGCAACATCAGCCTCAGCATGGGGCAAACTGGACTCACCATAATATCCATGTTACACACATGTAACTCCGTCTACCCTGACTTCGTGATGAGCACAATGTTTGTTTGCGTCTTGTCAGCATTTGATGAGGAGAGTCATGTCACGTAATGTAATGCATCACCAATCCGTTTTTAAAGATTAACATGGGCGCAGAAATAACAAAAGTCGGAAGAGCGTTCCACCGCTGACAAATTCCAAGGGGAAAAATTCAGGCCGCATTCCAGCCGACTGTATTGGGTTGCCACTTTCAGCTGGTGTCCCCTCAGTTTTGTGTTGAGACTAGATTTCAGGTGGCGGGTACTTGACCAGGATCTTTCATAAGCTGATACGTCAGAATGACTCTTAGAGGGCGATAACTTATACAGTTTTCAGTCGTAGTTGGCATGACAGATGGAATAACAACTTGACGTTTTTGAATGCCATTCGCTGTGTCTTCAGTGCACTGAGATCGCGTGTTGGCCCAGATTGCCAGGTCTGAATCGCGTACTCCAGGTGGGGCCTCACATACGCATTGAGCATTTGCGGGAAGATGGAATTATCGAGCACTCCGAGCTTCCTCCCCTTAGAGATCAACGTGTTGGTTCCCGATTTTGGACACCCCGAGGATTGCTTCGAACAGCCGAAGTCGCCTTGCACCACCATCCCAAGGTCACAAAACTGTGAGGCAGTCTCAAAGCCTAAATGCATTATTTGGCTGGTGGCGTAAACGTACTATTTTACGTTTATCCGCTTTGGACGGGAGTAGATTAGTCTTTAACCATCCAAAAACACGGTCTAGGCTTCGGTGCAGCTGTTCGTGATCTTGAATACCGATAGCCCATCATATCTTGATGTTATCGACTAATGCGAGAAACGCGACTTGGTGACACTAGGTCGTTAATGAAGGCCAAGAATAAGCGTACTTTTTACACTGACTAATGTGGAATAGTGCAGTCCACTTAAATAAGATCGGTAAAATGAGTTCCAACCCCTACTCGCAGCCGTCACTAAAGAAGGAAGTTTTTTAATCCATCCAAGGACAGGGTTCCCAATACCGTAATTTGTAGCTTTTGAGCAGAATGCGGTTATCGAGGCAGTCGAAGGCTTTGGAAAACTCTCACCATCCGCTATTTCAGTAGTTTGGTGGTAAATGATGGATATTGATGGAATCCGTGCTTTCCATCACTCATCATTATACACGTTAGCTCGAGGTTGGAAACACCTCAGCTACTGTACCGCAATAAATAAAAGAAAAAAGGGGGGAATGCAACAGGTGCAAGCCAGCTGAGCTACCGGTAACCGATGGGCGTCGTTCCGGTAAGCTACCAGCCGGATACCATGTAGCAAAAACAATTACCATACAAAATTGTATAAGGCTAAATAGTGAGATTATGGTTGGAGGGGGAGGCTAAGAGGGATGGGATGGGACAAAGAAACTCAAAGCACGAATGCCACTGAGATCGGCTCCTAGTCATATCAGCAAGTGTATCCAGCCAAACGTGTTCATCGTCTTTCGGACCAGCCGAGACGCTCCAGCTGAGGCCAGCTTCGAAGTGAGGGCCTTCATTCCTTTCGACCAAGTCATCGCTTGGCCATCCTCTTTTTCCATCCACACCCCCGGCGCGCAAATAACGCACGTCGCGGGAGTCGGTGGGCTGGCATGCGTAACATGTGACCGAGTCATTG